TAACCAATTGTAGCTGTATGTAAAAACTTAGTAATGGCTTTTAACTGAGAAATGACCATGTGATGACATTTTGAAATAATGAAGTTGATTTTCTATACAAGCCAGGCTGGATATGTAATCTTTACAGTCCTTATGTTGCAGTGAGCCTATGTGGCCCATTGAGGCCCGGAATGCAGCAATTGCCAACAGTTACTTCACCTGTGCCATAAACAGAGTGGGAACAGTGAGTACTCTGTCCAACTGTAGCATCCAAGACCGCATTCAGAACAGTGGACTAACTAGTCCAAGGGTCAAATATGGCCGACCCACTTGAATACTTCCCCACTGGGAATCTATTCGGTGTCTGTTAGTGGATTGGACTGCAAGCTTTTAGTGGGTGGCAATATTTGACCCTCAGACTAGTTAGTCCACTGTTCTGAATGCGGCCAAAGATTAAGTGCTGAAGCAAGGGAACCCTGCAGGGTTCGACATAAAAAATGTGGCCTGCTGGCCGGGGTCAATGAAAACCTATCTCGGGTCCAGTGATTCACAGGGGCTACTGGCCAGAATGGCAAGTAAAACTTAATGTGCCAAGTAACACTTGTAATGTTTACTGGACCTCACTGGCCTAGATGAAGGGCCAGTGGAGAAATTTAGTGTCAAACTCTACCTTGAAAATGTCTTGAAAAAGCCAGAAATTCATTACAGTATAAACAGAGAAACAGGCAAAGATCAGTATTTTCTTTTATGGACATTTTGGAAGAACATTGAAAGTGGATGAAGCTTCTTTTTTCCTTGTTTATTTAATTATATTTTTTGTTGTTTTATTAACATGTATATACTATATTATATTATTTCTTTGTAACTATATACCAGTCTGTTGTTTCATTTATATTCTTGTTAATGGATATTTGTTTCTTCTTTTGCAGGAGTATTTTGCTAATGAATTCAGCTCTGGAGATGGAAAGCCAGCTCACAAGGACTTTGGTCACTTTTATGGTATGTAAGCTAAAATACATACCTCTGTTATAATGTGAAAAGGTTTCCCAGAATTGTTCACCGAATATGCAATTTCTAATGATAATTCCATTATTAGTTTGTTTCTGGATGAATATTTAAATCTTTTGTTTCTTTCTTCCAAGGTTCAAGCTATGTGGCAGCTCCAGATGGCAGCAGGACCCCGGTAGGAAACTCTTAGAGGGCATTCCCAGAGATTTAGATCGATCTTACTAGATCGACCTAACTCCCTGGGGGTTCATGCTAAATTGCAGTCAGCCAACCGTGCACGGAAGTTAATTACCCCCTTACAGCTAGTAGTAGGCGGGACGGACATTTAAGCCGGATTATCTGACAGTAATCTTGTGAGACTCTCCACAGGGATAGATCGATCTAAAATCTATGGGAATGCGCCCTTAGGCTTTGTGATCACAGTTTAAGTGCCAATCTGTTGGCGCATTGTCCTAATATAGCATTGCCATGAGAGTGATACATGTATTAACTTTACATGACTGAGGGTTGTTGGTGCATTTTTTTTTTTTTTTTTTGTCATCTTTCATAATGTATGATTGTTGTGTTTCTGTTGCTGCACAGCTGTAAAGCTAATGTTAAAATTTCAATGGGACAACTTAAAGTAAATTTGTATTGCATTGTATTGTATTGCAATTGTATTGTTTTGTAGTTTTGTATTGTTTTGTATTGTATTAAATTGTTTTGTTTTGTATTGTATTATATTGTTATGTTTTGTATTGTATTATATTGTTTTGTAGGGGTTATCCAGAACCAGAGATGGTTTACTTGTGGTTGAAATGGACTTGAATCTGTGTCGTCAGGCGAAAGACAAGTGGAACTTTAGGGTAAGGAGAGAATCTTTATGTTGAAGGTGAATTTCATCACCACCTGCCAGCTCATCTGCAACTGAACTTGGTTCTTAGACCCCATTTCCAGAGATTAGATCGATCTACTTTAGATCGACCTAACTCCCTGGGGGTTCACGCTAAATAGCTGTCAGCCGAGTGGACACGAAAGTTAATTTCCCCCTTACAGCTTGTAGTAGGCGGGACGGGCATTTAAGCCGGATTATCTGACAGTAATCTAGTGAGACTCCCCGCGGGGATAGATCGATCTAAAAGCTCTGGGAATACAGCCTAAGACATTAGTTTTTTCCTTTTGTACATGTAAGTTTCCATTGATAAAGCTGCTCTCCCCTTTTCCTATGTAGGGAAAATGTTTTTGTGAGCAAAGAATTTGGTTGATATAAATTATTTAAACACAGAATTTTTTTATGTTTAGGGATTTGGGAAGTTGTTAGGTTTTACAGATTTTTTACTTTACATCTTTTGGCATCTCTCTCTCTCTCTCTCTCTCTCTCTCTCTCTCTCTCTCTGGAAATGTGTTTTTGTGAGCAAAGAATTTGGATGTGTAAATTATTTCAATACAGGATTTTTTATGTTTAGGGATTTTCTACTATGAAGTTGTTAGGTTTTACACATTTTTTACCTTACATCTTTTGGCAGTAACCTTGTCTAAAAAAAAGTGAGGCTAAATTAAAACCACCAGGGCCGTAGCCTCCGGGGGGGCAGCTGCCCCCCCTGGGATTTAGAATTTTCCACACTGGTAGGGGGACACCCCCTCCCCCCTCGGGGGCTTCGCCCCCTCGTGTCCGCTTACTGCCCCCCCTGGCATTTTGCTCAGGCTACGGCCCTGACCACAGTCCATCATACTAATCATAATAGAGGCCACATTATGTACATGTACATGGGCAGTACTTGTGTGCATATGCTAGTGATGTGCCATGCACATGTCAAATATTTCTCTTCAGATGACCCAGAGACTAGAGCTGTANGCTTCGCCCCCTCGTGTCCGCTTACTGCCCCCCCTGGCATTTTGCTCAGGCTACGGCCCTGACCACAGTCCATCATACTAATCATAATAGAGGCCACATTATGTACATGTACATGGGCAGTACTTGTGTGCATATGCTAGTGATGTGCCATGCACATGTCAAATATTTCTCTTCAGATGACCCAGAGACTAGAGCTGTATGCTGAGTCTTTGACCAAAGCAGTCCGCCCAGACTATCAGCCGCAGGTTATTAAGGAGTGATCACACAAGAGATAGAACATCACTTCCTCACCAGTCGCAGAAAACACAAGTGGTAGTGGTTCTTGTAGGAAGGTTGACATTTTGATTTTTTATGATCACTATCTAAGTTTTTTTCTGTCCTGATTACATTTTTATGAGATGAAACAATACAGACTTTCAAAAAGGTGCCATTTATTGGAAATCATTGGAGAGATACAGTAGAATATATATATATATATAGTTTCAGTAAATTCAGATTGAATTTCAATCAAGATGCATTACACATATAAATACCTCATTATTCTCGATTAATATATATTGATTAAACACAAGCCCAGTTAATTTACATATATAACACCAGGAGACATTTAATATACAGTTATTGATAATAAAACTTATCCAAGCAGTTATCCATATACATAAGTTATAGCATATTTTAATTAGATACATGTACTTAGTAATATATCTTCTGAGTATGCATAATTAAAGATTCCATAATTTTGTATTTTAATCAACTGGTCACTTGTAGACAAAATAATCTGCTTAAATTGTCGCAAGTTATATGTACATGTACAGTGTGTACTTTAAAATCTTTGAAAAGTCCCATATTTACTAGTAGTTTGTCAGTAAGTGTACCAGTTAATTACTATAGACTACCATAGTGGCTAACACCACAGACTAATATATTTATGATAATTTTTTACAGCAATAAACTGACCTACTTTCATTCCTATGGTGCTAGAAATTTGATGTTTATTTTTTTCTTAATTGGCGTTCATAATTCACTTTGATGTTTACAGGTGTCTGTGCTTTTCTAGATTTAGTTATAAAATAGAGGGGCCATATTGTAAAATTCTCTGAACAAAGCTTTAATCTGGAGAAAGCATTGTTTTGTGAAACCTACATGTACACCGTAGTAAAAGTTGATTCATTTCTGGAGGAGGACTAAGTTCCCATTTAATTTACCATACAGACATACAGTACTTTAGGTGAACTGTCTAAACGTAAGGTTTAATAGAACCATGATTAGGACATTATGATTCCTGAATGTATGTAATTGTAGTACATACAGGTAATTAACACACGTAGAGGGCTACATATTGTTTGAGTTGATGCAAGTAATATCAAACAGTATGTGGGATGGTTTGAAAATATAGATATAGTGCACTTTTTTGCACAAAATGTTATCTGAATGAAGCAATTTAATAAATAGTATATATTAAATAATAACAAAGTTGAAATATGTATTTGCTTGTGTTTTACTTTGATGGAATCCAATACAGTAACATTTTTTATTAATTCTAACCTTGAAGAAAAACTTAATTATAATTAAAATTATTTTGCACATGACTTATAATTTAAGTTTTTTTGCACATGCATTAGATGAGGATAACTATGACTGATTAGGATAATGTTGTCTTTAAATGTCATTTTTTAATTCATTTTTTTTAATATTCTATATTTATTGTATTTTTTCTCATGACAAAGAATCTTAACTATGAAATATTTTAAGCATTTGTATTCAGTGTTTTGGGCATATGGAAAAATCAATTTTATTTGTTAAATTAAAGAAAAGTGGCATCAAAATATGTTCATAATTTACTATGTATTATTCTTTAAAGTTAATTACAAAGAAATTAATCTTTTTTCAAAATCTCAACATATACCAGATTGAAATACTCTTTTAACAAGCTATAATGTAGCAAGATTATATTTACTGGTATGGAAAATAAACATTACGTAATTTTCTTTATTTGAAAAAATAAGTAAAACTTGGACAAACCTTCAGTGAGTAAAAATATTTATATAAGCAACAGATTTATCAAGGCATTTGGAGTTATTTGAAATAAGTTTAAACTGTTCCTGTGCTGAGGGATTGTTTTGATTGAGGACAAACCTCGACTTTGGAGCGTCTTGTTACAGGAAGTTTATGGGACGACGGGTAGTATTGAAATTGGCCAATCAGAAACTAGGCCAGGTCACAAATTTTGATTTGAAACCCTACATGGAAACTTGAAGGATCGCTGTGATTTTAAATGACCAACATTAATAGACAGACAAAATAATGTCCGCGAGAAGGTAAGAATGAGTGCAAAATAGTCACATATACAGTTTTTCGGGTCAAGATTTAATCTTAGACAGATATAGCGGTGATGATAACGTTTACCCGGCGGTGACTGCAGCGCATGCAATGTTAAATAGAATTATATGTACTAATAATATCCAGTACAGTAATATACTTTTTACGTAAGAAGTATTGGTTATTTTACATGAAATTGCGGTTAGTGAATGACTTTGTTGGGGGGTTTGTACAAATAATTCATGCTTGCTTGAGTTAATGTGTTAAAATCGATGTTAGAAAGGGGGCACAGCTGTATGATTTTTGGGGATGATGAAGGTAGCACATACAGAAAAAAAGACTTCCAAGGGAATCATATCACTACTAGAACGAAGTTCAATGTCAGATCTCCAGAACTTCCAAATTAGTTGAGACTAAGCTGGGATTGGAATAGCCAAATTATCATTTCTGGTAAAGCTACTGCAGTTTTAAACTTGGCAGTGTGATAAGTTTGGTAACTGACAGAATTTTTAAATTTAATAATGTAAAAGTCTGCTCAATAACAATTTAAAATCTAGTTTTATTAGCTGTTCCTGTGATTTACAAAATGTTTACAAGTTTCATAACTTACTGTGTAGATCCTTTCACTGTCAATATGCGTGAATCTAATCCCTTTTGTATCTGAAGCTTGTCAGGCAAACCTTACTGTCATTATATCAATAATTGAACCAGGTTGCCCCGTATCATTAACTTCATTAGCAATTGAGTTATATTGATAAGTATACTAAGTAGTGTGGAAACTGAAAACTTAATAAAACAGCTAGGCGTTCAGATCAGCATTTACAAAAAGTTTGCTGGACTAACTTTGAATAAGGAATGGCAGTTCTTAAAATTGTTGCTGCTCCCTTGGACCCACTAAGCAACATTTTCAGTAAGTCCTACAATTTTCATCAGTCCTTTCTGTTCATTAGAGTGTGGTTTCAGCCTGACAATTTTAGGTTTGATTGCAATCTGGTGATATTTGAAAAACATACTTTAAATTAATAAGACTACATTCACACTGTTCACTGTTCCATTGTTATGTTCCAGTCATGAGGAGATGCAGCAGGAGCTGGGCAAGTGCCTGGGCACCACGCTGAACAGATTACAAAACATCTGGGACGAGATAGGGATTCTGGACGAGCAACGACGAGAGCGCACGGACGTTGTGTTCCTGCACCTGCGTAACCTGCTGGAAGAGATGGTGAAGGAGGAGGAATCTCTAAAGACCAACCTGCTGCGCAATGTGGAAACATACGGGGCAGACATGCTGAAGCTGAGCAAAGAGCTCGCTGTACAACCCTATGAGGTAAAGGAGAATGTGATTCTTTGGATTTAAATAAAGAAAATACAGTCTAGGAGGATTATAAGAGACTGGTCCCAGAGATTATCGTACTAACTTTGGATCTCCAAGGGGATTCTCACTTAAGTGCGTAACCGGCTGAGATGCCTGTCATGCCTACTGAAGCTGATAGGGAGTAATAAACTATTGTTTAGCAGTTTTAGTAGGCGTGCCAGATATCTAAGCCACTAAAGCTGAAAACAATTTAGGGGGAACCCCCCCCCCTCCCCACGTGGAGATCCTGTTAGATCAATCAAGGGATGGGAACCCAGTCTAATGTCCAAGATGTGTTGATTCCTTTCTACATTGATCAATTCTAGATAAATTCTGGACTCTGAAAATTATTTTGCATACAAATCATTCACCATTTATAATTCAGTTTTTTATATATTTGTAGCCTCCAGATGGTATATCAATCCTTCAGCTTGAGAAGGAGCTCCGGACTAAAGTGGATGTCATGCAAAAAGAGAAGCATAACAGACTGAAAACCCTGAAGAAGCTGCGTGAGCAGGACCAGCATGTGTGTGACATCCTGTGTACAACACCCTATTACATTCCCTCAGGCACAGTGCCCAGTGAGGAGGAACTGAACTCATTAAGGGAACATATTGCTTCACTGGAGGAAGAGAGGGTAAGAAATTGTGATTAATATTTCACAATAGAATATACAAACCTTTTTTTTTTTTTTTTTTTTTGCCAATTTTCCCTGACCCCCATTTTTAT